GGTCCCACGAGTGCACAAGGCTCGGAACTTATCACACCACAATCTGATACCATCAAAATCTGAAGATCAAATCTTATAATTCTCTCATATCATAAGTCTCCAAATACAAGATCATGATTCATATCTAAAACTTCATATCCAATTACAATATGGCTAGCCTTCTAACTCGTCACTTCCCGTGGTTTCCCCGTCCTCGGTTTCACATCCTGAAATGGTGGACAAGGAAAAACTATGAGATAAACTCAGTAAGTAAATATGGAGTGCCCTTATTTAAACATATAGCATGCCAACAAGTATAATCACGAAAACGGATACAGTACGGGAACGAAATAGACGTCTCCTCTATAGGTCATGGCCAGTGTATAATCCCCACTAGCAGGGCCAGTATTTGCTGGTGTATAACCCCCACTAGCTGGGTTGAACGAACCGGTCCTATCAATAACATGTCGACATGTGCTAGCGTTTAACCCCCACTAACAGGGTCAGTAATAACACGACCACATCGGAGACAAAACAGGCAGAAGTTAACAGGAAAATCACAATTTACAATCACTTTCAGATCATTAGGACAGTCACTTAAATTTCAAGTAGGCATGCTCAATTTAATGAAAACCATAAAACATTTCACTTCAAATCAGTCATACTTGTGTAAAACGGGTTTAGTCCCGCCACCACTTCAAAAACAAATCAAAACATGCTTTTAAAACAGTACGGGCATTACCATAAATTTACTTACCTCACTCTGCAAAACCGAGCACTCAAGTCACGTACTAAACTGACAGAACGATCAAGAACCTAATCAAATATTCAAGGATCAATACCACTATCACAAATTCAAGGTAAACTCATCATTAGGATTATTCCTAATCACAATGCTATTTCTATCACTTTCCACATGATCGGACATCTCCAAATTCGTTCTTATATCACAAACTAATCATTTAAATCCCCGTTAACTGTTGGCCCTCGGGGTGTGAACAGTGTCGGTGAACAGTTTCGGTGAACAGTACCCCGACGTGAACAGTAACCCCGACTTTCACAAATTAGCCAAAACACTAGCTAATTCCACAGGATTTTCTCCAAAAATCACAGCAACTAATCAAGCTAATTTACACTTAAACCAAGCTTAAAAACATAGCTTAAG